CTTGTGGATTTTTTTCTCTTTGCTTTTCTTCCCAGCAGCTGAGAAATCTGACTTCGGTACTCATTCAAATAAAACTGCATAATAAAACCCTGAACTAATTTATTTGTCACATCTGAGGCTATACCTCAGCAGACTGTCTGAGGAGGGATGATGTGTTTCTGCATACTTAAGGGATGGTTTGAGGTTTCTCACTCTGAGGTTTATGCAAAGATTATCTGCAGCAGCAGACACCCAACTTGCTTTGTGTTGGTTTCAGCAAGGGAGAAAATAACTGTGTGCCCAGTGTTTCTCTAACATTGACAAGCTATTCTGTTTCCAGTGACACTCTTAAAAATAAGAAGGGGATATTCAAGGGATGAGGTCGGCCGAGAAGGATGTGTGTGGAGGAGGCTTAAGACAGTGAATATCTGTGGCGTCAGGGTGAAATTATGAACAATAAAATAGCTATCAGATGGAATTTCATAAGCAGCTAAACAGTGGCCATCTAGGGCATGCTGAATGCAAAGGACATGTCTAAAGTAAAACATGCTCACATGAGCAGTGTCCGTACAGTGTGGCATGAGGCCAAGTGCATACTGAATTAGGTCACTGCTCTAAGTGTGAATGTTTCCCCTCTTTAGAAAGATGTGCTCATCCTTTTCAACAAGGAACCAAACCAGAATGCTAATATAATAAAAAGACATTAAAAGCATTTTCAATTAGCATGCTGCTCTATTCCCTTGTGCTTAGAGAATCAATGAGCTCTTTTGTAAGGAACAGAAACATTTCCATAGCTGAATATACATAAGGCTCTGGAAATGCAGAAAGAATTAACAACCAGTTGCTTCTGGAGAACTTGCAGATCTTTATAAGCATTGTATAAGCCTCAGATATCTTGTTCTTTGGAGATCAACAGGGACTACTGCAAATTGACTTGTTCTGAAGAATTGAAATAAAGTGAAATATCAGCATGTACAATTTAAAGATTTGGAACTAAATTTTCAAGCACTAAAATGCTGGTTCCAGGGGCTTCTGCGTGATTACTTATTTCCAGATAATCTTGTATTTTTTTATGAACTTCACAATGTACCATGTAACACAATGAATTTCCCCATTGTGATTCTTGGGATCCCATGTGCTTTTGCTCATTCTGGGGTTTCACAGCCTGCTTTCTCTTGTAATCATATTCTACAGCCTGGGAGCAGTTACTGGAATTCCTAAGACGGTGCTGTGCCAGATGCAATTCTTCTCAAATTTAGGTTGTAAATATGCAAACCCAGCCCATTTTCTGAAAAGAGAAGATAGTGAGATAGAATGCTCATAAACCCTTCTTTTCTGATGGGTTAAGAGTGAAGAGTCTTACTGGCTTCTGTCACTCCTTGAAGTATCCAAGATGAAGTCTGTGTCTGACTCCTTTATGATGGCTCTTCTCAGCAGAAGTAATACTGAAAAGAAAAGATATATCCAAACTGGCTCAGTCCCCACTGCTTTAGCAAACTAAATTACCCATTCAGCTCTCCATGTGGAATTTAAAATTTTAATGTTTAACATAACTGGTTATACAAACATTCCTTGCCTTTAAAGGCCACGGGGAAGCTAGTGGAAAAAAATGCCTGTTCTTTATCGTGTTGCACAAAAGTGGTCAAACATAAATAAGCAATGCCTATCTATGTGTAAAAAGGCTGGCTTTTAAATAATTGTCACAAACCCACTAGATAATGTATATCAGCTAATGAAGAGATAATTAGAACCTAGAAGGAAAAGGACCACTGAGCTGTTCACAGCCCACCATGTTGTTCCCATTGCTTTAGAAACAGCTTATTGTATGTTTTCCCCAGGCACCTCTTAAGGCATTGCTCCACCAAACAGCCTTCTAGTGTAAATAGGTAAAGTGCCAATGGGAAGGCTCAGAAATCTGCTGATATTCATAGTCTTTTGTTCTTCTGTTGGGGATGCAGTGCCAGTGGCAAGTCCCTGTGGAGACGTGTTGACTTTCTTAATCCATGCTTACCATGATGATGTATGTTTGACCACAGTTATGAAAGTTATGAAGAACACAGTTATTCTCTCATTGTCCCCTACTATTCTCTAAGGGAATCTTAATCTCCTGGTACATTGTGTCCTCTTGACATCACATCAGGATATCTCTTGTCACTTGCTTCCAAGGCATGAATGAGACCTAAAGAGGCTTAGTGACTCATCAAAGTTGAACACAGGACAGTTTATTGGTGGTAGAGCAGGAATTTAATACAAAGGACCAGTAGACTAATGTCCTAACTTCAGGGTTGTCTATTTTATTGGTTAACAATTATTAAAGTAGTTGGGACTTGATTGATTGTTATTTTATGCAAGTCAGGTAGCTTGATCATTTTTCAATATGCCCTGACTGATGCAAGATGTGCCAGCTTCTGCATGGAGTGGTTTAGTTCAGTCTAGCATTTATTGAGGTTTAAAGAATTTATGGTTCTTTATACTGTTAATTGTGGCTTCAACTCTTACAGTCTAACAGAACAAGAACTCAGTAAGAAATGTGAAAAAACATCATATAGGCAACTTTGTGCTAAAGAAAGCTTGGGAAGATTTTATGTAATTTCTGTGAACTGGGTTTATCTTGTAGATTGTTTTTTCTTCTGTCTCCCTTGATTCACCACATCTGGAAACCAGTCAGTAGTCTGAGGATACATCTGGTGTTGGTCACTCTATAAGCATTTAACTTACATTTATATAATGTTGTGTTTGTGTGATGATGAGTGACTAACTTCTGTCTTATTTGGACTCGATGTTATCTAGAATTGAGCTAACAAAAGCATTACTTACTTTGTGTCAAAGTCTCCAGTAACATTCCACGAGCTAAAAAAGCTTCAGTTTTGGATTACTACTGCCTTTAAGCTGCTGTATTAAGAATTTCTACATAATGTGTCTAAATTATTCATTAACAGGGACGTTAGCACTAGAAGTACTAAAACCTGCTTCAAGCAGTTCTGTAGACATCAGCTGGACACCCCCAACGTGTGCAGCTCTTGCCAAACTTAGTGTGCATGACCTGCCTGCAAACGTAGGGTCAACTATCGAAGCCATTGCAGTTGGTGCTATGAATAAACCACTTAACCTTTCAGGCCTTGTAATTGGAGCTTTCTTGCAAATGAGGATGCTGAATATTACGATACCACATGGTAAGGTTTCTCAGTAAAGCAGTATCCCTGGTGCTGAAAGCTGAATGGGAAGGGAGAAATGTCACAAAGACATATCCGGAGAGACTCATTGCAGAGTGTTTATTGTAAACACATGGAGTGTAAACATCGTGGACTGCATCATGGCCCCCTGATTTGTGTGCAAGATCAGTGGCAGAAGAGCTTTGTGACTGCTGGCAGTGCTAGATATCAGTCTGTCCAAGCCATATATAAGGAGTATTGGAGTGGGCAATTTTTTTTTCTAGTTTAATAAGCATACTAAAACTAAACTGAAAGTCCCATAGCTTCTCCCAAACCATAATTGCATAACACAGTTGAAATGGATGTAGAGCTAATACATTCCTGGATAAATAATTATGAGCTTGAGTTATTTTCTAGGGCCAAATTTTAAATGAAAGTCTTTTCTTGATGTTAGAAAGTGGACTAACACGAATTGAGCCTACTTCTTAGATTTTTATGCTGTCTTTGAAGAGGCTCATAAAATGTTTGGCTGCCATTGGATTTTTGGTATCCCCCTCTTGTGTAACTGTGGTCTTCTTCCCTGGTCTTTTCTTCCAGGCTGGCTTAGTCAGTGGTGTAAGAGGGTGACACATGTAAATGGTCAATGTCTCTTCACACTAGCCTAACCAAATCAAAAGATGAAAATGTTAGTAAGTGGATAATCTGATGTTTCTGATAATGGATAATTCTGCTGTTTCTGTAAACTTGGATATTTAAATCTCCAATACTTTATTTATGAATGAATAGTTATACCCTGAAAGATATTTACCTGAAGTAAGAACAAATGAAATTGCAAGCTTCTGCTGCTTCAAAATAGGTCTTGGAGTTTTTATTGGATTTTTTTCTTTAGATTAGAGGAGTAGGAAGGGCATGGGGTTTGTCATTGAATTTTTTTTTCTTCCTACAGAGGAAAACAAAAAAACCCAAGGGAAACAAAAAAAAAAACCCAAGAAGGAATGGGGGAGTTAAAACAAATAAAAGTTGATGTGACTAGAAGAACTTTTACTGCTTTAGCTAGCTGTGTGACAAATGTATTTCATTAGACTATACATATTACTATTTTCCAGACACTATGTCAAAGGGAATTGCTGATGGGTAATGCAAAGGAAAGAAGTAATGTTTTCTTTTTCTCCTGTTCTTACCTCTTCTACCACCAGTTCTTTGCATCCATGTGTTACACCTTTGTTCATGTTTTCTAAATGACTGGCTGCTTTGCGGTTCTAATATACTCCTTTCTTTTAATTTTAGGTTCTGTCTTCATTTGACTGACTCAAACCACAGATTCCAAGGAAAGGAGGGGAACTGGAATAAAATACTCAAGTGCCAGAGGAAAAGCAAGACTAGCCAATGAAAATTAGTGTTACTAAGCTGTATACTGCTCTCTCACATAGTGGGGGGGAAAAAACTGCTGTCTATTCAAAGCTTACAAAATTACTTTTGCAGACTTTTCTCACAGAACTTTGAATAGGCTAAACCTCTTTAACTAGGGCTGAATTAGGAGATGGAAATATGACTCCTTGCTGGCGTCTTACATCTTCTTCCCCCTCTGCAGGTTTTTTTATTTTGGTGTAGGAAACCCTGCACAAATTGTATGGCATCAACCAGACTTACAGTTGATGGCTATGGATGACACAGGAACTTCAGATTTACATCACTGCAATGACACCTGATTAAGGCAAAGGTTGAAAACTGCTCATCAGCTATGTTATCAGAAGTTGTAGTAGATACTACAGTCACACTTTCTCTCAGATTTGAAGTCTGGGGTGATGTCCCTGGAAAGTATGAGCAGATAAGTCATCTTTTAGGACTGGAAACAGAAATAATCTGAAAATGCCCAGAAGAGGCTTAGTAATTCAAGCCAGGACTCGTTGGCTGTTGGTGGGCCTTGCTTTACTATTCAGTTTAGTCTTGCTCATGTATTTGCTCGAGTGTGCTCCACAAACAGATGGTAATGGATCTCTACCTGGTGTCGTAGGCGAAAACATGGGTAAAGAATACTATCAAGCTCTCTTGCAGGAACAAGAAGAGCATTATCAAAACCGAGCTACCAGTCTGAAACGTCAGATTGCCCAGTTAAAGCAAGAGCTTCAGGAAATGAGCGACAAATTGAAATCCCTGCAGGAAAAAAAGAGCCCAAAGGTCAATGGTATGAACTACCAGGGCACCAAAGAACAAACATCCAATGATCTCCTAGAGTTTCTTCATTCTCAGATTGACAAAGCTGAGGTGAGCATGGGGGCCAAGGTGCCTAGCGAATATGGTGTCATTCCTTTTGAAAGCTTTACGTCCATGAAAGTATTCCAGTTGGAGATGGGGCTCACTCGGCATCCGGAAGAGAAACCTGTTAGAAAGGATAAACGAGATGAATTGGTGGAAGTTATCGAGGCTGGCCTAGAAGTTATCAATAATCCAGATGAAGAAGATGGACAAGATGAAGATGATGGAGTAGGAGAGAGGCAGCTATATAGTGAAAATGATTTTATAGAAGGTATGTTTATTACATGCTTTCCAGCCCATTGACAGAATGTCACAATAGGCATTTAATGGTGTTTTTAGTTTTAGGTGTTTTACCTACTTAAATATAGTCTCGAAGAGTAATTGCATAGTGAGAATCTTTATTTCTAAAAATGACTGTTACTGCTTCATTATCTTGTGTTTTGAGTAGGGAGTAAGGAATGCAGTTCAGGAGAAGGGTTCACCACAAGGAGTGTACAGGGGAAGCTGTGTCTGCTTAAATTACTGAGGCATTCATAATTTATTGTAGCTAAAGTCTGTGTGACACAACTGCTTATGGTACTAAATAACTGAAAGACTTCCAGTGGGAGGGAGAAATTGATTCGTCTCTCTTTTTTGAGAGTACTTAAACAACCCAGTATGAAGCTACAGGGGTTTTCTTCACTCATCTTTATGCCACTTTTAGTTAATATTCGAGCTTTTGGCTCTCTTAGAGGTGGCATAGTCATATTGGAGGGAGAGCATTGGTAGTCTAATGTGTTGTGGTCATGTTGGCTGAAGAACTTGGCGTCCTGAATAGACCTTTCACAGTATACTAGTTATGAGTCGGTTAAGCTGTGGAGCCTTGAACTGTTCCCTTGTTCTCTTTTTAGTTCTGTCTTGGTGCTTGTAAGTGTAATTACAGAACACATTATTATAAAAGCAAATGCAGCAGTTAAGCTTTCCACACTTTGTAACACCTTTAAAAGATGCATTAGTGAGAATTCCCATAGGTGGCAGCTTTCAAGGTGCAGTCTGGTGCTAATGGGAGATAAATATTATCAAAAACTGGCCTAGTGCCTCTTCTTTACATTTACAGTTCATGCTGCCATAAAATAACCAAAAGGTGGACCTTTTTTTATAAGACCATTACTGTAAAAGGGATTCTGGATCTCAGCAGTGATGTCTTCACTATTAAGCAAGCATGCTGGTGAAAGGTACCGTTGGCCTTGAAATAAACAGTTCCTTCAGTCTCAGATGAGGTAATTGGTCTGTAGGGCAAAAAGTCTCTGCTTTTAATAGTTTGATGCCTGTACTCTTCTTCATTCCAGAAGGTGGGGCAGTCATGGAATCCACTCAGCAGTGTCGGTGTAACTCAGCCAGTGCAGCGTTAGTACTGTTCTCAATTAAAACCATATTATTTTGTCTGGAGTTAGTCATTCTTGCAGTCTTTTATTGTTTTATGTCTGCATTAAGTATTCAGCTGCTTTTCCATTGCCTTTTTTAGACACTGCTTACACTCTAGTGGATTTTTATTTTGCCGTGACTGAAATGACTGTTGATTTTTTAGTGTACTGCCTTTAATGACAGACCTTCAAGAAAGCAAGTGGCATTAGGACCTTAGAACTATACTTCATGCTTCTACCTCTGTTCACACCAGTATATTAATAATTGGTTTTGGAAATCAAACTCATTTCCTTTTGCTGTAAAGACATTCATTTCAAACACAGGGTTACAGGAACTGGGAAAGAAAAGGGGTTTATTCTGTATTTGGGTGTGTTAGCAACTAACCGTAGTGATGTCTGTATTTATCAGTGGCTTTTTTTCAGACAGAAGTTGAGTTGTGTGGGTCTTCTGTGGGGTTTTTTTTGCATGAATACTACTGGCTGATTTAGCCAGCAACAAAAGGCTGCTTCTGAGCATTACAGCCCTTTCCCTTCTCTCCCCCACTGCATTGTTCCAAAACAGGTGTGAGAAATGGAACCAGACAGTAGTGGTACCCACAGGTCCCTTGCCCAGCAGCCCTAGCTCTAGCATGCTACCTCCATTGTCAGTTTGTGCATCCCCATTTGATGGAAGCCCAGGTGGGAAGCTGATGCCTTCCTGTTTAGAAAATACTGCTCCTTAAAGCTGTCATAAACTGGTAGGTCTAAGTTTCATAGCAGACTTGATATATGTACTGAAGTCCTGTAACTATCCTGTCTAAATTGTTGCTGCATTAGTGTTGCTCATTTAGAAGAACAGCTTTTTAAAGTTGGCGTGAGTCAAAACAAGTAATTTAGGTTTTGCATCCTCTTCAGTTGGTAATAGATTATTTTGCAGTGAGTAGTTGAGGACTAAAACTAGAGTATTGTGTAATCCACTCAGTGTGTGGATTATTTTTTTTGTTCTGGGACAAAAGAGAAAACATGATACTGCATTAGTTAGTACATAGCCATTATGTTTTATGCTCGGTATAGATAAACTGATTTTGTTTTTGTTCTGACTTGCAGGATTTTTTTCTCAAAGCTATCTACAAAAACTTACCCACAAAACTGTGCCACAACCTAAATGAGAAACAGGCATTTTTATTGTGGAAGTGTTCTAGCTTCCTACCTCAGCTGGCTACATTTTCATGTAGGTAAATGTTTGGTTCTGGGAATTAGGTCAGCTTTTTTCCTAGACTTGTGAAATAGTAGACTAGAGTTTGAACTGTGTAATCCTTTGTGGTATGTACTTTCAGGTACTCTCTCCTTAGAGAATTTGATGACCATTTAAATTCAAGTCTAGAATCTCTTTTCTTATAGACAGTTGTACCTGTTAGTATCTTTTAATCTCTGCTGAATGTGTCTGAAATTCTTTCCCAGCATTTATGTTGCCTCTGATGTCCAGTCAGTGAAATATCACTGTCTTCATTTGAAAAAGCATCAAGAATTTATTACTGTGTTTTAGGATTTACCTATATTGGAGTAACTTGAGGTGATAAATACTAGTAACTTGAATTTAAAATTAATCTGCCTTCTATTTCAGAAATGAATCTGTCTTTTTGAAAAAAGTACACTTAATTACTCAATAATACACATGGTAGTCTGATTTTGATTTTTTTATTACTCTTTTATTACTTTTTATTACCCAGTTTGAAGCTCTCTCTACAAGTTTGCACATCCCAAGGAAAGATACTTTTCCCCTTTTTTGTCCAATGACCCCCAGATCAGTCCCAGTCAGACCAAGCTTGCCTGCCTATATCCCAAGGTCAGAGTACCCAAAGCCTTGACTCTGGCACCATTGTTTCAGCCAACTGTTGACCTTTCTGGTTCTTCTGGTCATCTCACAATCCTCACCCTGGACCTCACAGATGGCTGTAAAGATGTCTTAGGCACCGGAGTCCTTGACCATCTCTCCCAGGCTTCCATAATCTTTCCTAATATTTTGTAGGCTTCTGTTGGCTATGTCACTAGCTCCCACATGGAATACTAATAGTGGGTAGTAGTCGTTGGGTTTGACAATGTTTGGCAGTCTGTGTGACATCTCTGATTTGTGCTCCTGGGAGACAACACTTCCCTCAACAGCAGGTCAGGCCAACAGACGAGTACTTCCGTGCCCATCAAGGCTGAGTCCCCTACTACTATTACCTGCCTTCTTTTCTTAGTTGGGCTATTATTACCAATGTTCCCTTTCTTCAGGAGCCTGTGACATTAAGTCTTGAAAGGTGATAAAAAACTCATTGAGGAGCCTCCATGCACAGCTTTACTTCACTAACAGCGTAACTGGTTTCTTTGGGTTACATTTATCAGTGTAACTGGCTTATTTTATCAAGAGGTTAAAAGCTGTTCCATTGGATAGACATTTAAAATTAACCTTTGGAAAACAGAAGCATTAGCATGTTTTCAGAAGCTAATTATCAATTATCTAATCTCTAACAAATGTCTTCTTACTGACTGTCTAGCAGTGCTGCTGTTTGGGTCCATTTCTCTTGCTTCTGTGTTTCCAGTTGGAACGGGGCAAGTCCCAGCAACTGGCTGAATCTAAAGGGGAGACTCCCCACCCATCCTTGGTGTGTTAAAATCTTTTATTACAATGCTGGAAGCTTTAAGTCAAAACTGTTCCAAAGTCCTTGCCATCCATGGAACAGTGTGGACTGTTTGTCATGCACACGGTCCCTTTAGTGTGTGCTTCATAAGATCAGAAACTGGCCAGTGCCCAGGGCACTTCAGTGGAGACTTTTATAACACACCAAAAAAAATAGGACATATATCTTAAATTCCATACACAAAACACTTTCTTGGTAGTTGTAAAACAAGTAATAGTATTCAAGGCAATGGAAGAACAGCTTTTTTGGCTTTGTTAGTAAGTGGTCCCCAGTATTCTGTGTTTAATTTGTTTGGTGAGAAGCACAACTTCTGTGAAGGGAATAATGCTTCATGGATCAGAAATAGCAGCTGTTAAATTATTTCTGGTGCTTTTTATGTCTTTGCTTATGGAGTTGTGTTTTGGATGGCAGCCAGTGTATGCTAGTTGGAAGGTGAGATAGCAGGTTTTATTACATGAGTCAGTCCCAAGTGTTAAAAACCTGAATATGCTAAGAAGTAAACCAGATGTGGGTTCTTTTCCTAGCTGTTCTCAATTCTGACTTCTATGTGTAGAAGCTTTAATCTTATAAAAGTATTCAAATTAGTAGATTACCAAGAGAGGTTAGCTTACAGCAAGGAGAATAACTCAAGGAGTACATACTTACTATTTGAAAGAAGTGTGGCACTGGTAGGATGTTTAGATTCAAAAATTTGGAATCTTGTATTCCAGCAATTGGAAGTTGGCAAGGCACTATTCAAATTTGGATTTGTATATTAAGCTCTTTATGAAGTTACAGCATTTTTTAAAAAATTAATCTAGAAGTTTTTGCTCTGTACCGCAGCCTTCTGTTGTAGACTGGCATCTAAGCTTATCATTTGTTTAAAGATAAGTTATTGGCAGCTGACATGCTTTTTAGAAACTTCACTCATGTTGTAAGTTGTAGTTTTATCTGCAAACAAGTATTGGATGCTAGAGAAAAGAATGTACTGAATACTGAATGTTAATTTATACAGGGTTGCTGGTACAGGTATTTGCAGAATATTACATGTGAGCATGATGTGCAAGCACTGCTACATCAGCTGCTTCATTAACCAAGATGCTGTTTTCAAGCTACTGTGCTGGACTATGCAGCACAAAGGGTTGGAGTGGAAAAGGGTTGAGAGGAATTTACAATCTTTTGCTGCTTCTGACAGTCAGCTTGTAGACTGAATGTAGACTTTCATTGTTTGAAAGCCATTTTCAGTGCTTGTAATTAATACTGATTTGAAACTGAGCAGTGTGTTGCATACTTTATACCGCATTGACAAAGTGTAAATGTGGATTTCTGTCTTCTAAAGGAGAACATTGCAGAACTTTGTTCAAAGACGAAAAAGCATCTCAGTTGAAAGGTTAGATTAGGTCACCATAAACTTCAAGTGTGATGGCACCAGCTTGTTCTCCCACAGACCCTCTGTCATCCACATTTCATATCAGGTCTGCTAGTGTACATCTTCTCCAGAAGAAAGAGTGGATTACAGACTGAGTATTGGAGGAGATTAGGGAGTTTACTGTAAAAGAGAGGCTGTTGGGCAGAAGGAGGGAACATTAGTGAATGAAATTGGATTTGGTTTGGGCATGAAGACTGGAGCAGAGGAACAGAGGGAATTGGGTAGATTTAGGGAAAAGACTCTGTAAAGGGAGCCTGGGATATAGAGCAATAAAGGACAAGGTGGTGAGCACATTTCTTTGCTTCTTGTATTGAATGAGAAGGTAATGTGGAACATGGAGGAATACTTGCCTGGGGATAAGGAGAGATGAAGATTTCTTATCATCACTTCTTTCTAGTTCCTGAAATAGTAAAAAAACAAGCTGTTCTAAGTTTGAGGACTGCTCCTTTCACATACTTTATCCCATGTTGATTTCAGTTGCAAAAACCGGTGACAGCGACAACAAAGAGCACAAAAGAGAACCCTTTGTGTTATCAGCATGGCTTGTCTATTCTGTGCCCTGCCACCACCTGCTTCCTGGGTGGGAGGCCTGGAGACAATTTCAGCTGCTCTGCAGGCTGGCTTGCCTGAGAAGGGGCAGCTCAGGCCAGCCAAGTGAGTGGAAATCCAGTGGTTATATGGTGTAAGGGTGTTCATCGCACTTGGGGATATGCAGCTGTTCCTAACTTTCTCAGTGGTCTGTGTGTTCAGTTAACTGGAAGCTGTTTGGTTCACAACGTAGCTTGTGGTTTTTCTCTATAATACACCTTTTTCTTGCTGGTGAGAGGCAAGAGCAGCTATGGGGTGAACATAGGGCAGTTTTGTTAGAGGATTTTTTGTCATCGTTTCTTAGTCTTAGGTTAGTATAGATACTGAATTAGCAACTGAGAGCTTAGTTCAGTCAAAACCACAGTTGAGCCTTGGTCTTTTCCTTTGTGATGTAAAATTAGAGAGGCTGTTGGTTTAACTTGCTTCCTTGATGGTCCTTAAATGAAATGACCGTGTTCTGAATGGGATAGATTTTTTTCTTCATATGAGGAGTAAAATATCCCTAAATATATAGTCCTGTTTCTGGAGGATTAGTGTTGTTTCCTCAAAGTGTTGCAGCCACGCAGAAAACTTCTGCTTATGTCCTTCGAGGACCATGGCTGTAATAAAACACTGAATTTTTTTATCAGATAGAAAGCACTAGCTAGTGGTCGGCAGCAAAAATAATTTTAACGCATTCCAGCATTATCACACAAATTTTTCATTTAGATACCCCATGTCAGATTTTGCAGGTTTTGTCAAGCAAGTTATTGTCATTTGTTCTGCCCACAGCTTGTGTTGTGTTGATTGCTGGCCAGATGATCTCAGCTTTTACTGTGGACTAGCTCAGGGAAAGAATCTTTCTGAAGGGCTTAAGAGCAGGCAATATTAGATTTCAGCCATCCTTTTCCATAGCAAATAGCTGAATTCCCTTTTTGTTGGGAAGATCCAGCATGAATTCTGCCTGAGAATTTGGGTTAGGACCATAAAACATGTTGTTTCTAAGAAGTAGGAGGAGCTGGAATTTGGGATTGTTGCTCCAGTCTGATCTAAAATATTAGAAGGGTGACTGTGATTGATTATGGTTTGTGGATTTTTGTTTTTAGGAGAAACCCAGAAGCTTTGCCCCAACTTCTTTAGTTCTTAGGAAAATCAGTGTTTCTGAAATACAATTGCTGGGATCTTTGACTTCACAAATTACTTGTGTGACTTATTCTTCAGGTTACTATCGTACAGAAAGAGATAAGGGGACACAGTATGAGCTGTTTTATAAGAAGATGGATGGCATGGAATACAGGCATGTCACCTTGTTCCGACCTTTTGGACCCCTCATGAAAGTGAAGAGTGAAACGGTCGATATTTCTAGATCGATTATTAACGTTATTGTTCCTCTTGCTGGAAGAACTGAGGCATTTGCACAGTTTATGCAAAACTTTAGGTAGGTGCATGAGATTACACAGTGAGCGATGTTACTGATTTTCAGCATTTTGTTTCCTTTTCAAAACGAATTCCTGTTCTGGTTGATTAGTGACAGAACTAATGATTCCAATATTGTGTGCAACTGCCTTGGGATATTTGTAATTGAACCTAATGTATGGAGAAAAACTTCTAAAATCAATTTAAGAGATTCTCAAATTGCAGCAAATCCCCTTTTAGACCAGGTGCCCGGGTCATTGTGAACCTGGGCACAGATGATTTTGAACATAATCTTTGTATTTGTATCAGTTTTAGAGCTCCTTTGTATAGAATAAGGTGTCGAAATGTGACACACAGTATTGGAACCTTCTGATTCAAATGGGAATGCTGGGAAAAAAAGAGGGGAAACCATCTTTGCTTGTTTTCTTTTGAAGCTATTTGATGCCAGCCCAGAATACTTAAGTCTGCTAATACTATTTAATGCTGTAGCTTTTAAGTACCTGAAGTCTCTGTTGTATTGCAAGTAGTTATTAATATCAGCTTATCTTTGTGCTTATAGGGATGTGTGTATTCATCAGGATAAGCGTGTTCATCTCACAGTGGTGTATTTTGGACAAGATGGTCTATCAGAAGTAAAAACCATCCTCGAATCTGTGGCTAGGTAAGTGTGTTGATCCAACATCAGTCAATACAAACAATATTGATTGGTATTTAAAATGTTTTTTTTAAAGGAGTGAAAAAATAAAAATAATAAGTTTATACTCCATTACAGGTGACTAGGAAAAGTAGGCTTTATTTACAGTATGCTATTTTTGGTTGGCATTTTACAGCTTAGGTTGCAAAATTCTCCTAAGACTACTCAAAATCAAGTTATAGGCCAAAAAAAGACAATCCACAAAACGACAGGGGTGAGTTTTGCAGTGGATATTTAGTCATGCTAGCAAATTGATCAGAGTTGAAGTTCTTTGGAACTGAGATGTACATTTCAGTTATTTCCTTGGAGAAACAACTTTATTTAAGGACAAGGGAGAGAAATGTGGTCTCAGTAGGCCTCTGATGTAAACTAACTTTAAGCACAGTTTTGTTTGTTGGGTTTTTTTCTCTGAAGGATGGAACAGGTAATGGCATCCATAACCCTGGAGCCAAGGAGCACTACCTGAGCTCTTGTGCTTATCACTGAGCTGTGAGTCTGTTACCCTTGTTAGCCAAAAATAAGCCAAGTTATCATATAATCAGTGTCTCACAATGCTGACCAGGGCTCTGCTTGATGACATACATTAGGCATAGGCTATTGTGTCACCAGCTTTTAAGATGTGATGGCGAGTTGACTTGGCATGCACAGGCATCTTCTAGAAAGGGAGGAGAGAATTTGAGCCTTTGTCCTGCAGAGTCTCCCTGGCTCCTAGGTAGCTGTGTGCTGGCCCCCTCCATTTCTGAGGCCTCTCTTCTGCCTGCCCTGCTCCCTGTGAGATGTCCTCTTCACAGCATTGAGTCAGACTCAGTGCTGCAAACTCACTGGGCCTGTATCTGGTTCTGTATCTTCTTAGTGGTGCTGCTGTTGAGTGTCTTCACTCAGTTCTCTTCAAGCATTGCACTCTGAAGTAGACACTTAACTTTGCCTGAAGATAGTCCCTGGGTGTATTTCCAGTCTCCCTTTGGTGCTTCTTCCCTCCTCTGCCAAGAGTACAGGCGTGTGTGCTACTGGTATGAAATAGTGAGGAGAGGCAAACTGACTGGGTTACAGTGGCATCAGTACACAGGTGGCCTTTGCCTCCTGAGTTTGGTGATGCCAGGACTCCAGTTTTCTGTTTGCTCTCCTCTTTGAACTAGTGAAGACACATATTGCTCTGTTAGTCAGGACTTCCTAGTTTGAGAGGATAAATTTTAGATGCCATTGTATTCCAGAAAGCACTTCAATTCATGTCCGTTGCTAATAGGCCTTTAAATCTGTCTGAATGACTAAACACAGAGTGAAGTTATGAAGTAAGGCTGAGGTCTATTTTTTACATTGTCTAAACTTAGAACAGACAACTAAGTGGAACAGGTATTTTGTTCTCATCCTGATGAGAAAACTGGGTTTCTGGAATGAAATTACTGTAAAATGCTGAAAAATTACAAATACCCCTCCCCACGGATTTATTTTGAGTTTGGCTCTGTTTTTCTTGTAGAGAAACTGATTTTCACAATTACACGCTTGTCTCTCTGAATGAGGAGTTTAACCGAGGCCGAGGGCTTGATGTGGGTGCCAGAGCCTGGGAAAAGGGCGAGGTCCTGATGTTCTTCTGTGATGTTGATGTTTATTTCACAGCCGAGTTCCTCAACAGTTGTCGCTTAAATGCTGAGCCTGGTATGTTCTTTGCTGTTGCTGTAATGGAGTCTTGTCATTTTGTTTGACTTCAACTGACCTGCATTGAGCTTGCAGAAAACTAACTTGAATGGTGGAGCTAATTCGATACCATGCACCTTGGAAAATGAGGCATACTCTGTGCACAAAAGGCAGTAGCATTGAGACTGAGAAATAACTTTTGCTTTAGTGTAGCTGGTTTTAAAAACACGTTGTTTCTTTTGTACAACATGTACAATTTTCATGTTTTCTTAAGATTTAGTTGTCTAAAACAAAGCTGGACAGTTTAATTCCTTTAACAATTAGACTGCATGTAAATTTGTATAACAAAACTCAGTGCAGGCCTCTGCTGTGGAAGATGATTTTTGTTATATTGAAATCTCTAACAAGTTTGATTTATGTCTTCGCACGTCTGGCCAAGACACATCACACATGAATGATTTTTCAGCAGAGCTACAGTGTGCTCTCCACAGTGAGTGAGCTCCACATTTACATCCCAAGCTCTGAAATTTTCTGACTCTTTTTCACAAGTTTGTATAAGGCTTGCTTCTCCAGGCTTCTGCCAAGAGGGATAAAGCTTTCTTGAGTTATCAAGCATGCTACTTAAGACTTCCTCCTGTCAAACATGTGCTTGGGTTCCTTTTTTTAGTGCTTAGTCTTATTCCAAATTTGTTGGAGCCAGAAACCATTTTCTCCAAATGTTAATTTGGAATGCCTAGATACTTTTGCTTCACATAATGAACAGGCAAGAAAATCCTCTATAGCAGATATTTGGATTTTATTTCATGCTTTTTCTTTCATTTCTGGCCGTCTCTGCACGTCATGAAACAAGTTGTATAAATAGTTGGAAAAATTTTGGAGAGGAGCATCCTGGGGGCTCTAACAAGGAAAGGAGTTCGAGAGACTGCTTGACAATTCATACTGGCAGTTTGCCACCTTTGCTTGAAGTGAGATCTGAAAATGCTTCTCACACGTTTGTTGTTCATGCCCAAATCAGTGTACTGAGTATCCTGGTGGATTCTTATCAGTACCTTTGCAGCACTGGTGATACAAGACATCCCTGAAAAATACCTATCTGGCTTCTGTAGTAAACACAGAACTGGTGTGTCAACATAGTCAGGATGCTCAGAGTGTTTATTGCCCTTGCAGGACATCCTAGATGTACCTGCTTTTACATGTTTGCAGAAAGAGGCAAACTCGTAAAACTCAAGCAATGCAAGGTGTTACTTGGACTTGGTTATTTTTTAGTTTTACTCCATACTGTTATTGCAAGGGTTTTTCACTATCACCTAATGTGACACTGTGAGATATAATATTTTATATGTACATATGTATAACTATATATAAATGTAGACTGTGTATATATAAATATGTACATATATATTTTAATTTTTTAATTTTGTGGGCTCTGCTGCACAAGATATTACGAGCTGCCTAAGTGGGAAATCCTAGCAGTTAGACTTCGTGTTTATTTGTTTTCACTAGATGGCTAATAGGTAATATTTTACTTAAAGAGAATGTTTCTTCTTGCCTTCAGAAAGTGTACCCACAGTGAGTAAAAATTACCTTTTGACTTCCAGGGAAAAAGGTCTTTTATCCTGTGGTATTCAGCCTTTACAATCCTGCTATTGTCTATGCCAACCAAGATATACCACCCCCTGTGGAGCAGCAATTGGTAAGCAGCATTATTTATTTTGGATAGGATTAGGTGTGCTTTGTAGCAAAACAAAATGAAGTGTGACTGAATAGACTGTTTGGGATATCTTATGACCTTTGGCAGTGTTTATCTAAACACTTTTCTCTGCTATGGACAAAGCACTTGGAAGAAAGCTTATCAAAGAGTATAAAATTCATTCTTAGATAAACTTGGAGTTCTACCTAGTTTAAAAAAAATGAAATTGCTATTAATCAAATGAAGTCGGTAGTTCTGATCTGTTGCTTATTCTGGCTTGGAAAGCCAGTATTTTAGGAGGATGGTGTCATAACATGGCAATGAATTGATGAGAGTCAGAAAAGCTCCCCTCAGTATCGACTCTTTGCTAGCTAACAAATAGTAGTTGTAGGAAGTATGTCATGTAACTCGAGGTGAGTTTAGTCAATTGCTTTTTTGTGGTCTGGACAGCTGTGCTCTGTGCATGTTTCTTTACTTTTGCCATCCAACATCTGCCAGAACCGTTGGATCTTATACTGCTAATTTCATCTTGCTTTTGGAATGAGACACTGCTTCTAGGTAAGCTTATAGTCAAAATAGTAAACCCTGCAAACATTCAAGAGGATAGGTTTAAGAATAACTTGGGGCTCAGCAGTAAGAAAAGTACTGTATTTCTGTGTCTTTGTTGCCTGAAGATGGTATGGCCATGGTCAGTGTCCAGCTGACTCTCTTTCAAGAGACTGCATGAATGAAATTGGGTTTTGCAGCTGTGACTTGTGAGATGGACAGGTTTGGAGGAGAGAAAGGAGAGAGTGCAGGACTACTGTACTAAAATAAAAGGAAAACATAATGACCCTCATTCCCTACATTGTTTGCAAAGATCCTGC